GGGGGGATGGGCGAGCCGCCGGGGCTGTGGGCCATGCGCTGGCCCGGGGAGCGGGGGGAGGGGGGGCGGGGGAGCAAGCCCGGGCGCTGGTGGCGCGGCGTGGCCACGGGCGCCGGCCGGTCCCCCCCCCCCGGCCAGGAGCGACGTCGGCCGCCGAGGGCACATGGCTTTTATCACCGTGTCCGTTCGCACCTGGGCGGCTGTGCTGGGACTGACGCATTTGGCGCGAATGCGCGTCGGCCGGCCGGCCGGCCGGCCGGACGACACACCTGCAGCTACGAGATCCTGGATGTGGACCCCCGCGTGGCGGCGCGGAATGCCCGGTGGCGGCGCACCGGCGAGATCCTGCCCTTCAGCTCGAAGTACTCGGCCGAGCTGACGCCCACCCAGAGCAGCCCGCTGGGCGGCCGCAAGGACCGGGTGAGCATGCGATGGGCCAGCCGCCGGGGCAGCGACAGCTCCTCCTACAAGACGCCGTTCTCCTCGTCCGGGGCGTCGTACGCGTCGAGCCGGCGCGGGTCGGTGTCCGGCGGCAAGGGGCCCAGCGGCATGGCCGGCGGCCCGGGGGCCGGGGGCCCGATGGCCGCCGGCGGCACGGCCGACATCCCCTGGATCTCGGCCGACGACCCGCCGACGAATGAGTACTTCCTCGGGGGCGAGGGGCCGGCCGAGTTCGAGCCCGGGGCGTCGCTCGGCCCGGGCGAGGCGGCCCCCATGGAGGCCGGCCGGCCCGGCAGCATCCTGGTGGGGGTCAGCCAGGCCACGCTCGCGGCCGGGCCCGGCTCGCAGCCGGCCGCCCCGGCGACATCACGGCTCCCGCCCCGTACCATGGGCCAGCGGCTGCGGGTCCTGTTCGGGTGGGTGGCCGGGGCGGTGGGGGCCCGGTCGGGCGCGGCCGTGGCCGGGCCACCGCACGAGGAGCTCGACCGCCCGGCCGCCGGGCGCATCCTGCTCAATCAAGACCCGCTGGGCATCTTCCCGGCCGAGGCGGAGCTCCTGCTCGAGGACCTGGGCGGGCCGGCGGTCTTTGTCAGCCCCTCGCGAGACTACCTGGTACGAAGGGCGGCGAGGGGACCCCCGGCCGCCGTGGGCCGATGGGCTGCTGTGCCACTTTGCCGTGTCCCTGGGGGCGGGCTTTGGTCGGGGGCTGGCTCGGTGCCTGGCCTTCTGGTGTGTGGGGGGCGGG